GTGTGGGACGAGCCGATAGCTTAACTCTAATTCTCGAATTCTGCTATGGTGTTTGATTGAATCTAACAAATATTGTATATACATTGCCCTGGAATTAAACCTGTTTTCAACGCTTCGCTAGCCCGTTAGCGTTACTTAATGAAAAGGCTGAATTCTAGCTCTACTCAGATAATCCCTAACGTTTAGATAATTTATGTACTTTATTATTTGAAGTTATTTACTTGCAATAAATTGGTTCAAATTCGCAACACAGAAAGTAGCAGGTGGCTTTTCAAACGTCGTAGTTTTTCCAATCACGTAGTCACGCAGTTCCCGAAGTAATATCAACCAAGACACAAAGTAAGTGTAGGTAAGTTGTATTTTATTCAAAAGGTAACTTGATAGGACGTACTTTGAAAAAAAAAGAATGGAATATTGGCTTTTAAAAAATAGTCTCGTTTAGTGGGCTCTACCTATCATCTTTTTAAAAGATTGATCTTCTATTTGTAGGATCCTACTGCAATAGCTAGATACAATATTATTTATATTTATTCTTGTAAGTTCCTTTTGATGCCTGTTTTTGTCATGTTATCCATTCGGGTTATCATGCGGCACGCCACTGTACTACAGCGAAACGCACGTCGTACTAAGTCCTACCTTATAGGGCTGTCAACAGTATCTCCGTGCCTTGATTGGCAACATCAGAGCTAGTCTCGCCACCGCAGTTGTTGTTACCTGCTTGCAATTTGCGGGAACAATTCCCTCGATTATTAGCGAATGGTATTTAGATTAGAGGGGGTAAGCAGTAAGCAAGAGCAAATCCGAAGGGTAAAGCTGGAGTAAAGAAACAAAGAGACCTCAAGGAAATTATATATAAAGTACAGACAGTTTAACGAAACGGTTACTACGAAAGGATTACCCGTAGGTTGCGAGGACAATGGCCCATAGTTAGCGCGGAGCCTGTTTAAGGCAACGAAGGGCTTTCCATTGAGCTATAACCACGACAAGTTCTGGAGGAGAATGGAGACCGAATAGAACAGGCATATTGCGAAGCAGTGGATGCTTTTGCTACGACTAAATGGGTATACCCAGCATGTGGCAGATCGGTGAACACCAGCCTTATCACGATCTTCTAGTAGTAAAATGTACAGTTAGTACAATGCCTACCATGGCGTACGTGAATTATGATAACCATGGACGGGCATAGTTCCCTTCTTTTTTATCGATAGCGGTCGTGCAAGCGACAGTGTCGCGCTTGTCGTCATTTACTCGATTGGCCTCAAGTAGCTCCGTAGTGCTCCAACGTGTTTTTAGAGAAAAAGGCCCTTTCTCAGAGGATCCCCAGGCGGACAGACCCATACTACCCGTCGACTTAGTACACTCTGTGTCGCGTCGCTTTGGCCCCGTCTCTCAGTCTGGCCCAGCCGACGATGATGCGATGGTCGTTTCTACCTCGATTATGGCACAGGGGTCTTCTCGCACTCGCACATTCGGCCTCTCTCCCTAAGGGCAACTCTGGGCCAAGCGGATCTCTCCGGCTGAAGCCTGTTCTACCATCGCCTATGTGAGTCCCTGTGGTACGCGGGACCGGTTCTGTAAGTAAGTGTGTGCGATGGTCCTGCCTCTTCGCCTGCGGGCGCGAGGAGTGTCTGGGTGCCTGTGAGTCGCTCCCTGTCGGGTCGTTGTTCTTGGTCGATGTACGTTCTTGGTCGATGCCAAGACACTGCGGCCATAGAAAGGAACAACACATCGCGCATAGCATTGGCAGGAGGGCGAGCCGTTCAAGACGAGCGTAACGGGGACCAACCGGGAGAAGAAGACCGGAGTTCTTTCGTCTATGGGTGAGCGTGTCTATGTATGTGTGTATATATATGTCGATGGTTGTATGGCGGCCTGCCCGGGCTGGTCCAAGCTGTGGCGTAAATGTGGGGAACTCAGAGGACCACCACCGCGTTTGCTCGGCGATCGTGGCGTGTGCCAGCCCATCAGCTGCTGCTTTTGCCAAGAGCTGCTCCACCCTCTGGGCCTGCGGGTCGCAAGGCGGCTGCGCAGAAGAAGACTGTTGGAGGCCAAAAGAGAGGAAGAAGCTCTAACAGACGCCAGTGGCGGTGGCTGATGCTACTACAACCACTCTTGTCTCCGCCGCTCCTGTCTGCCCCGTAGCGCAGCTACTGGCCCTACACTGCTATCGGCTGCAAGAACATCATGGAGTCGATCTGAGCGGCTGCTGCTCGACATGAACAGCAGGGAAAGTCAACGCCAAATGCCGACCAGCCGCAGCGAACTTTAGCAGCGAATATCCGTATTCTCCGCTGCCGCCAGTGCACTGTATCATGCCATTGAGCGATTGTAGCAAGCAAACTGAACGGTTGCCAGGACCGGCGGTTGAGTTGATCTGAGCTAAGGGCTGACAGGACGACCACGACAGGGAGACCGGGAGATGAAGACCGCAATTGCAATGGCTGGCTGACAGCGAGATGGTGTAGTCTGTGCTTCGCTGTCGACACAGCAGCAACAGCAAAAGTAGCAGCTTCGGACGAGGGCGAACACCCTTAGCGACTACCCCACCATAAACCTCAACCCCCAAACCCCAGCTCCCCTCAACGCACCCTCTGGATACATTGGACGGAACTAAAGAGCGTGGGGCCGCATTTGCTGCTGCTGCTGCCAATGCCGCCAAACTGCAGCGACTTCAAAGGCCGGCCATACATGGTCCATTTCTGCTGCTATCGCTGATGACACTGGCAACGCCGCTGTTACCGCCGGTGCTGTCGAGTCGTGGGGAGAAGACGCAACTAAGAGGAACAGAATGGAAACAGCAGAATAGCAGGACTAGCTTGTAGAAGCATCAGTAGCAATCTTTAGATGGGTAGAGGGCCCAGCAGGCAATGCAAGTGGGGGTAGACAAACGGCTGTCGCCCACTGTGTGTTGCGAGCAGGACACTGACGTGGCCCCACCAGCAAAATGATCAGAAGGAGAACCATGACGATGACGACAACAGAGACGACGATCAAAAGTAACCAAGGGCGGGTTAGCAGAATAACCACCGGCGCATAGGATTCAGTCGACTTCTCGTGCCGACTAGAACCGGAAGCTGTCTTGAGCCTGTTAGGGTGGCGAAGTGCTTCAGTTCAGCCTAGGCTCGATCAGCAAGAAGTAATGCTCAACGAATGGCTGCAGATGGTGATGAACTCTCTTATTTTTGTGATGCTTCCCTCTACAAGACTCTTTTCTATTACTATGCAGTGGCTACCGTACAAAACCTACAGAACACATTTATAGAAAAAATAACATATCTATTCGTATGTTAACTAATTCGTAACTAAAAAAGGAAACGCAAAATAACCAACACACAACGTCGGTGAAACAGATGGATCCGAACATGTACGAACGTTCTTTAAAATCATCATATTTAAAAAACTGTTAATGAAATTATGTTTTATCCTTTAGTTGTAAAGCTACAAGATGCAACATCCTTCTAGTCTCAACACCTAATACATATTTATGTATACCACACTATCAACATTCGACCTAACCGAATCATTAGGGATGCCTGGTTGAAAATTCGTGATCCTCAGTGGTTTGTACAAAAATATATTCGTAACCATTTATGTATTCACAGTTATGGTTGTTAGCCTGATAAAGATGACAGCGGTCCGATACAGCGAGTCCATCCATTGCAATAGCCAATTTGATAAGGAGATGTCTAATTTCCCCTACATCTTCTCCACCTGCAATCAGTCATTTGCAGACCACTTCCGCTTCGAGGCTGGGGTCGAACGCGATTACGGATTCATCCTTCCTAGTTGCGACTTGTATCAGCGTGACCACCAATCCAGCAATAGACGTTAGACCTGGGCCTAGAAATGGGGCCTACAAGCTACTTCCTCTCTCGGCCGGTCGGCCGGCTTGCCTGCCTGCCTGCCTGCCTCTCTATCGACAGTCGTAGGAAACTTTTCAAGAGAAAAGAGTGTGATGACAGAGCGATTCTCGGAGGAGATTACACGATAAATCCGAACGTGTGGTTTACAAGTTGTGCCAGACAATCAGGTGCTGTCTTCGATAGCAGAGTTGATGCAGATTTAACTACCATGGTAAATTTAAGTATCTTCTTGAAAAACGAACAAACTACAGTGAAGTTAATTTTGTGACACTCTGATGATTGAGAACGACTATACACGTCACTTTGTTGCAACGATTGCACAGTAAATACGTTACGCGTACCGTACGTGTAAAAACCGCAAGGGTAAAGCGCACCCTACTACGAAATTGTATCACGATGTTATTTATATTCATCTGTTAACTATGATTTATGTTGTTCAGTTACCAACTAGTTCTGTTTTCGCTTGGTAAGAATCGTTTCACGTATTTAATTGGACCTTTCAGACGTCTGCCTAATCAGTCTGCGCAAGCCATAACAGGAATGGGTGGATAATTACGAGAAGGCAAACGTGCGCACGGCACAAGCCTCTATGAATTTCGACAGGCTAACAGCGAGGACGCCTATCACTGTGAAACTTTCTGTAGAGCGCCTAGCTTAGGTTGCCCAATAGAACCGGATGAGCCCGAGAGTCACGAGATATGGCACTACTCTTAAATGATAAAACGGTGCATCTATGTATATTGAATGAATCCGATAATCTCCTCAAGCAAAACTGAAGTTCCGACAGGGCCGGCTAGAGCTTACTGTCCTTGTCTGGACCAATTGGTTTTCCTCACTTATACGGGCGACGAGTGAATCGAATCAGTTTTAATATTTGAACACCGGCACTGTCGCCTCTATTCGACTTGATCCTGCCCAAGCAAAGATAAAAGTAGGACAAATGTACGTACACACACCTTAGCCTATACACATTATGTAGCTTATCTATTACATTGAGCTATCTGGTTAGCTGAGGGTTCATTTTCGAGATAGCCTAATTACTCAATGGAAGGTTCCCGTCTAGTTAAGGTTGAAGTTATCCTTAGCTTACGATACGACCCATAGAATGTTCGAAATTTGTCAAATCGTATTTCTTACCTGAAACCAAATTTTGATCTGCCGTTCCGAAAGGCAGAGCGCATGCGCGATTTCAATGCGCCGCCGGCGGGTAAGATATCGGTTAAAGTGGAACTCCTTTTCCAGTTCGAGCGTTTGGTAACGCGTGTACGACGTCCGTTGTCGCTTCGTCTCACCCATACTATTGACGCCGTCTGTAACAAACAGCAAGAAACAGTTAGGTCGCTTAGCTCACTTAAAATTGGCTAAAAAATCGAACAATAACTGTGTACCACTGTGCTTTTAAAGTCGACTTTATGATGGTTGACTGATTCTGAAGATACAACTCATCCTCTCGTAGAAAACTCTGCCTTAACAGTCTACATTTCATTGAACGCATGACTATGGTTGGATAGTGCAGTTCCGGCCGCCGTCTCCTGGCCCAGCCTCGCGTTTCCTTACCACTGGTTATGATCACAAAGCCCCAATTGCCTAACATTGTTATGAAACAGCAGAAAATGCCAATGTTATAAACCAGACCATCTGGGCAATCATTCGAAACAAATTCAGTATTTTTTTCCCAGCTGTAGACCATAAGCAATCGTTTCGTCTGTCTGTTTTTCGAAAAGAGCGTCCCAGCTGGGGTTCAATGAAACTAATGTTTCACTTCGTACTGCCCAATGCTTCATAAAATAGCAATGTTTTTCAGCGATAACCAGTCAGATACGTATGCAAGCAAACAGCCGATGGAAGGCGACGCGGCAGATATATACGTGTACAGAATTGGATATGGAGTACCGTAGTTTAACGGGCAATTGCATTCATACGGGATATCTTGCAGTGGAGAAAAGTTGCCCAATGAACGAATCGAGCTAGAATCAATTTTGTTATGTTTTTTTTTTTTTCGATTGACTCCCCTCATTTGATTATCTGTTATTGAATCTTACGTTTGCAGGCGGCACACCGGTCGCTTCTAGCTAGTGAAGTGTGATATAACGCTTTCCTTTACATCAATGGCCGACTGCACGAGTAACAGACAATACGATGATCTCGTTAAGCAAAATATAATCCAAAATACCGAACTCGCCCTCGACCGACCCCATCCAATCAGATATGTTCGACGTGCCCATCTCTGCGTCCTATATGACATCGTCCTATATGCTCTTATTCCTCCCTTGACACGCACCCTTTCCTTTTCGTTGCGACCGTCGTCGCTGTCGTAATCCGTTTGTTAGCAATCATCTGTTTCGTCTATTTGAATATGATCAAATATTCAATTGCGGCTGGATCCATTACGGGAAAATTCGATTACTATCGTGTAACATTTGTCGTCTATCGAGTCGCCGACGGATTTGATCTGAAGAAACAGAATCAGTAAAAATTGAGAGTTAAGGCTTGCAAATCCCTTAGAACCGACCCAAAAAGACCATGTTTTTGGTTGTTGGTTCGCTGCGACCTGCAGTGTCACGTTGCGATAAACACAAACAAACAAACAGACAGAAGGCCCGTCGTGTAGCGTTTCTCGCTGACCGTCGTTGTTTTTCCTTCGGTCATCATTTTTATTAGCAATTAAGGGCGAACGAAGGACCAGAAGAAAGAACGAGAGAGTGAAAACTATGGAACCAGCGGCGATCTGAGTGGGCGAGCGGTAGCGTATTTGTGAGTCGAGACAGTCGGCAATGGCGTTGCTGCTGCTGCTACTACTTTGTGCCAGGAACTGAGCAGAGGCCAAAGTCTGAGCGCGAACCGCGAACGCTGCCGCCGTTCGAGTGATCAGAATGAAGAGCTAAAGACTTCTTTCCCAGTTTAGCTGCGGCCAGCCAGATCAGCGACATGGGCAGTATGGGCAGATATCCTAATAATTCCAAATGGGAATCGAATTATGAGGCGACAAAGCAAGTCAGCGGCTTCGGCGGCAGCGACTTAATTCAGTAGCGGTTTCACGTTTCGGACGCAGCTGCTGCCTCCCCATTGTACACACACAGGCATACACGTGTACTCACACCATCTAGTTCGTTTATTGATTCATTTGAACGGAGACTTTTCCGCGAGAAAGATGGGGAAAAGGCGTTCGGATCTAGACAAATATAGAGCGGGAAAGAGAAAACGCCATCAAGATAATGATAATGAACTTGATCATTATCAGTATAGTCGTAGGAGAGTCGATGGCAGTATCAGCGTCCTCGTCATCACCGACGCCGGCAATCTAGGTTGCCGCCGTCGCTTTAATGGCTACTGGCTGAGCGATTAATGGACGAAACAAATAATAAACAATATTGAAACTGATGGCCCCCGCCAGTGAGTCGTCGTACGGCTACAGTGGAAATTCATGGGGAGGGATCAACAAACGACCGTAAATCGAAACGGTAGTACTTCATCGCCAAGTTCAGCGTATAAAAGACGCCGTGACCTTTCTGGCAATAACAGCAGTTGATTTATTTATGTTGTAAAGTATTAGGATAATAGGTTTTCACGATGATGCGGTCCCAGCAGTAAACTTTTAACAGAGTTTGACCATCTCACGACGGCAAAAAAAAACCACCTACCTGGACTGAAAATGCGAGCGGATACAAATTCGAGAACTACATATGAAGCGAAGCAAAAACTATTGGCATTGTTGGGTTATATCATTGTGGTAGGTTTGTTCTCGACTGCTCTAGATAAGGCGTAGAATTGTATTTAGTTCTTACTTTTAGCTGCTACCTTTTCTAGGGAAATAGGGCAAAGCTTCTGACAAAACACAAAAGTAAAATCGAAACATTTTTGTCTAGTCCTAATCGACTGTGCCTACAGCAAGATAGGCAAAACTAATCTGGGTTAAGATCAACCAATGCTCGTCAAAGGGTGAAATATTTGTGAAGTGTAAAGTTGTCTGTCTGAAAACAAATTGATAACGATCCCGACTGCATTTTTTTACGCTCTATATATAACTATATATAGCTAGTAATATATATATATATATTACTAGCTATTGTTTAAAAAGGCAAAAATAACACATAATTGATTAGCTTAAATTAGGCATGTAAGTGTGTATCGTATCACCAAAATTGATTCTCAAGTAATAAAGGCGCTGTACTACTTCACTGCTTCAACCTGGACTAATCAATGACCCATTTCTCGTGTCCAGTTTCTGCTAAGGCCGTATGTTGAGAAACGATGCAGAACAGGGCCGGAAAGTATGATTTACTCTACACAGCTGTTTTTTTCATACGAGTAAATCGAATTTAAGGATCGGGTAGGCATAAACATAAATCTACGCCTTAACCGACCCTCGAGTGACGATGGCGAGCGTAAAGCAATACTTCATGAGCGCCATAGTGTCCCTATGCGCTCTATGTAGTATCGTATGGCTGCAGATTCGGAACACACCGGTACTCAAGTAGCGATTATAGTGCAAGAAGGCTCTTACGCTATACTGGCGGTGAAGGCGTTCGGGTGATAGCACCCCAGGTAGATGTCGCTCTCTACATGGCCATTTATTGAGATACAGAAGCTCCATGAAAGAATAGCTCAAACATAGTAATGGCAGCAGAGCAGCATTATTCGCGATATACGGACATCGAAGAGCTGTTTTATATAAATTGCCTTCAAAAGAAAAGATTAAGGAGAGAATGTCGAAAGGAAAACGGCAAATTAGCATATCTCTTTTGAAAAGAAAGCAGGCAGACAGGCAGGCTTTCAAAACTACGTAGGCAACATGCAGAAAATCAACTCGTTTCTAACTGCGCATAAAATCAGTGTTGTACGGTTGTCCCACTTGCACAGTTGCGCGCAAATAAGCTAGCTCTAATCAAAGATCGCTTTTTGTTTTCTGTTAGTGAATTTAACGCTCCGAGCCTGGGGAAGGGATAGGCCCACAGAACTAAGCAAGGTCGAGAGCCTTCTCAGGGAAGCTTCTCTGACCTACTAAGAAGCTAAGAGTTTGCTTCGCTCACCCAGCTGCAACAAACGTAAGTGCGATACATCTATGCTCAGATGTTTGTTATAGATGCTGGGTGCCAGGCCAACACAAGCCTGCATTCATTCAGCAATTCACAAGGAAAGTACCCGTATTACTATATTTGCTACTACTACATAATACATTTTCCACCTCGAACGATAACCCCAATATAGAAATGCATTGATACCGACGATTGATATGAACGCTGACAGGCAAAGGGGTGAGTGCATCATTGTACGATCTAATTAATGTATAAAAATAATAACTGGTACATTGTTTAATGTAAGCCAACGTCAACGTCAAGTAGACTACCTTTGTGGGGTAAATGTTCCTTACAATTAACAGACCCATATTAATGCCTATGAGAAAATTACTGATCTCGTACAGCCTTTAGTTTTCCAGTATTATAATTTGCTTCCAATATTATTCAATGGAGCTCGCAAGAAGTCGACAGGAACCGATAAGGCCACACAATCCAAATCGCAAAATTCGACTCTGCCCACGTACGCACTATTAATCTATGGCAACATTTTCATTTGTTTTTCCAACTTAGTATCACTGATGACCAAGAAATGCTTTTAGATCGTCTACTATTTTACTTTGGGTCAGTGGCCAATCAGCATCTGGAAACAGAGGGAGAACAAGTCCCCGTATTGTCTGCCACTGTCTTCAACTCGACTCAGCTTTAAATATGGGAAAATTTCCTGTCACATAAAAATTAGCCATAGATCCTATTGGGCTCGATCGAATCCTTGGATAACTACCTAGACATTAGCTAAAAAAAACTGCTAGTGGGCCAGTAGCGAACTTGCTCATCAAAGACGTACATATAACTAGGACTCTCGATACGTTCGATAATATTGGAAAAATCTTGAGACAAACAATAATAAAACCCCACCATTAGACGCCTGTTTAGCCTTTACGTAATTACCTAGTTCGTTTTACGATTGAGTAAATCGGGGTTGACCACGGCATTGTTAAAACAGTGTGTAGCTTACTATTTTTCGTATCGCTTTAGCTTACAACAGCCGTGCGAAGTTATGCCGAATTAGCGACCTTTTATTTCGCAATCCGCAGAAGCAGACCGAAAAAACATGCATCAGCTGATGTTCCGACGGACTAATAATAATCATAATTTTTGATGCAATGATCCAGCACTTTATCGCGCTAAACACACTTTCGAAGAGCTCCTTGTTATCGTCGCTTCTAATCGGTCTGCCCTATACGGCATTCGTCTACGACGTTCGCGTGTCTGTCGAATTCCGTGTGTCGTCTGCATGAGAACACCATTATTTCTCTACTGTATTCGTCACTTGATACTTCAGTTATTTGAAGTATTGCACATATTGCTGTATTATCCTATTTTTTTTCTGAAACTTCATCAAGAGGCTAGATCAGCAGTAGTTAACGGAACACAAACCTATTACTATCATTGTTTCAACATAACATTAATAGAGTTATGTCTATGAGTTTTACAAAGGTGCACGTCCATATAAACAGGCACGTTGAGTCCTAATACATATGGCCGCGGCGAGCATGAAAGCGGCCGTACTACGATGTCTCCTGACCGACTGCGCTAATCAACGAACAAGGCCGATGGCATTGTATTTAAGGTTTGAAGCATAAATCGCTTGTTTTTCCGTCGATACATTCTCTTCACCGCAGCGCTTCGTTTGTCTTGTTTTGATTAATTATCTAAAAAAAAATAGAAGAAAAAGAGGGAAACCGTCAGGTATGTCAATGGGTAGTTACCAAAGTATCATAAGCGCATCATAAGAAGCAAGCATTTTGGCTGACAAATCCCATTATTTTTTCTCAATAGGTGGCGCCTACGTAAACGTTTATATTGTTGCGATAGCTGCCATAATGCAGTTATAGGTCCTCGAAGGTCAAAAACCTACCTCAATGTATTTAAGGACATTTACCATACTTTATATTCTACCAACATCTGGAGGACTCAGCAAGCCATAGAAGATATATATGTTATTGAGAGATATATTTGACTCTATCAACTCGAGAGTTCACCTACCTCGTTACGCATTTTATAGCCGCAGGCTAGGCGAACAGCACACCGGTTTCTTCATTGAGACTTTCGAAGTCAGAGAAAGAAAAGAAGATTGGCTATACTTTATTAACTAACTGGATAGATTAAGGATAGCACCAATGCTACGACAATAAGCCTATGACAACGTGGCTTATTTTCTTGTAAGGCGATATGCACGAGAATCTGCATCTTTCTTCAACCAGCATTCATCGCAATGTTTACTGTCCTAGTCTATTTTGGAAGAGTGTTGTACCAGTAAGTCTTCTAAGCTGCCTTGGAATGAGTTAGGTGTCATCACGTCACTATTCGAGTGTGGTCGTGTCTTCATACAGAAGAAGATAACGGAAGAAGCTAGCTCAGCGAGACATTATCATCTGGACTTGGCTTTTTGTTAATTTGACGGATCGTGAGCTCTGTGCGATCTCACAATAGCACTGGCGACGTAACGTCTCACAAACGTACTGGTGTCGTACACCCATTTGGCAAAACGTGTCTTGTTCCCCACAGATTACAAAGCAATAGAACATACCTATATATTGCTTGCTCTTTCAGTTGGCCAAAGTAGTCTCTTTTTCGTGCATTTGGCTGTCTTTGACAGGCAGCTGTCATCGTCTTACCGTGAACGGAAACTGAGTAGGTCTCACTTCATGGAGCGCAGGCAAAGGTTGGCTAAATATCGAATAATGTACAACGACGATCTTGTAATAAGATTAATCTGAACAAAGAAACTATCGGCAAAATGAGAAGTAGCATTTAACAAACGACCAATTACAAATGCGCGACTGCAACTTGGACTTTGGTTTTTTGTGTCCTGTTATCTTTTTTCTACGGTGGCCGACTCGCAGATAGCCGACTTGCATTCGGTTTCCGAAAAATAATGGACAAACAACGAGGAACAGCCGTCTTGGGAAGACACCAGCATCAAATATGGGTCTGTCTAAACTTGCCTACTTAAAGCTAGATACCTGTCCCTCTGGGTTATTATCAGCAGTCAACTATACTCTGAACTCTACTGTAATATAGTATTATAAATGCTGTCCGCTACGCTGGCGACGTGTATTCTATATGACAATGCCAGTCCGCTGTTGTTCATTCCCGCTTTTCGGGGACGGCGAGAGAGAAGAAAGATTTGTGATGGAGACAAAAAGAAAATTTCATGCCGAAAACCACAGTTCTGCATTGTCGCTGCGCTGCTGGCAGTCAGAAAGCAAGTAGGAGAGATGCCCTTCAATTCAAAGGAACGTCTGTACAGCGCCTCCTGTATCGCTGATGCTGCTGGGGTGGCTGCCTACGCTTACCTATCGTTACCCTCCTAGCCTACGCCATCCAGCTTTGGGCATCGAAGAAAGGGCGGAAAAGTGCATGAGGTAAACGATCTTCGACAATGGGGGGGGGACTACTATGTCGTTTCTGCTGAGCCGTAGCAATGGATGGCATGGTATGGCATCGAACGAGAACGATACGACCACCCTTTGTATGGAGCAACGCAAAAGCAGTAGGCACAAGATAGGAAAACCCAAGAGGGTGATACTATTCTCGTGGAACTCACCGCCAAAAAGAAGATTGCGAAGATGACACACAACCAGGGTCTAGAAAGAAAAGGCTGGGTCGAAACAGTGACAAGCAGCAAAGAAAATAAAGAAGGAGAACAGAGCAAATGCGGAGTTTGGCGACGTGGAGGCGTTGTTTGGGCAGCAGCGGCGGTGGAGGCGGCGTCGCCGACTACGTCTTTTTTCTTTCCTTCCTTTCTTTTCTCCTCCATGGCCATCCGCTCCTTTCGAAACGCCCTCGTAATTTCCAAGTCATGGCTAGGAGAATCCTTCGGAAGAAGACATATGGACCGCAAGTAGGATCAAGGAAACTCGCAAAAATATCTCTGAGCGTTGATTCCCAAAGCAGTCGCCTACAACTGCCTATGCTTCAGCAACAATGCAACCAACACACAGCGATGACACTGCAGCAATGCCGTAAGATATGGGAAATAACTCTCGTATATAAAAGAAGACGCAAGAAGACTCGCGCATTCAGTAATAACATAGATGTCTTCAGGAAAAAAATGGGTTGGCTAACCAAATAAGGAGTATTCGGGGAAATCACGATGTTACAAAACAGCGTGTCCTTTAGCTATAAAGAAAAAATGTGGCTGGATGACTCGCACGCTCACCAAACGCACTATGTACAATGCCGAAAACAATATTCAACCAATATCAGCGGTATCATAGTTTAGAAAGCAATGTAGAAGGTCTTACAGTTTGATGTATATTATCGGTAAATCAGACAAGTAAAAAGGTGAATGTTTGTCGGCTAGGTTGGCCTATGTGTCTAGTCAGTTTCTGATTGATATGATCTAATGGTGCAACGAGCAACATGCGAGAACGGTCATATCAGACACAGGGAATTTTGTTTGATAGCTGTGAGGATGTTTTTGTGCGACCCAAATAGATTAGATACTTACTCTGACCGACGTGAACCTTTCGCATCCAGGGGTAGATCTGAGGTGGCTGAGAGTTGCCGCCGCCACCTGCAGGTGCCGTCGAAAATTTTCGCTCCTCGGCGGACGTAAGGCCCGGAGACGGAGACCGCGTCTCAGGGCTGCTTGGACTTTGCGTGGATGATGCTGAGAGGTCCTGCGGGGACGCCTGAAACAAATCGTGCCAAAGAAATTATTGCTTATTTGCTTTTGCTAGGCAAATAATACTAGACCAGACAGACAAGTAAGTAGAGCACTTCGAATCTTAAATTGTTTTTAAGTCACGTGCACTGTATAAACATACATGTATATAATCCACTGTATGATGCCTGTGCTTCTTCTAGTTATATACGTGAAAACAATCAACACCGATAATAAAAAATACCTCTAAGTTGTGGGTAAATGTATTTATCGTTTCGAGCAGCCAGCGTTCGATGCTTTCTATAGTATTGTTAAAGCTACGTATCGCTTTTTTACAGAAATAGCAGGTCACCAAGAGATCGTTTTATGAAGGTTAGATTTCAGGTTTGGGGAGATCAGAGTGTGACCTAATTCTTCACTTGCGGGCAGCCATAATCTGACTAAAGTTAACATAGTTTTCTAACATTTGACGTAGTACACGTTATGGAATCACCAAATCGAAGTTACCTTAACATTGTCTGTCTTACCTATATATTATTTGTAACGAAACACTTGGCCCAAAGAATGTGCTAGCAACTCGTTATGACCAACGCGTGGTGGACCAATATTTAGTTAGCTATGCTTTTGATACGGGCCAGGCTACGCCCGATTACATACATCTCGTCCCTTGAATAGAATTACAAAAGGGCCTGCGAGCTTGCCTTATTGGATTGTGCATCACGGGAAGTTTCGAAATTCGGTACTAGCGAATAGCTTGTTTACTAGTGATCCATCAAACGTTCTTCGAGAATGTGAAACAATATGAGAGCAAGCAAACACAAATGCTCGTTTATGCAAGTTTATCAAGTTTCAAAAAGGGAAAACAAATAAAAAAAAAAAATATTATATATCTTTTTACCCTACAGCTCTAGAAACGATCTAGAATTTTGAAATGATACTGCTTTACCGATACTCTGACAATACGTATATTTGATTTTTACAAAACATGGCAAAAACCGTACCTAGCGCTAACCAAAAAAAAAAAAGATTTAATTTTTCATTTAATTATGCTTATTGTGGAACTCGTAGATACTCTAGCTACGTACAACTCGTCTTCAAGCCGACCAACTTCAATAGAAAATACGTATACGAATGAATGCGCCGAATAGCATCAACAGTAGAGAAGCAAACGGCTTTACTAAAGCTTCGTCTTTTCCTACGTATTGAAATCAACCTAACTCTTATTGTTGCCTGTCTATAGAACAAATAGTATTGTTTTGGCTTTCCCTCAAAAGCATTACCTCTCCATGTCAGAAATCATTCTCGTTATATCATTTCCGTCCGGCTGTCTGGACAGATACGAAGATTTTGCCTATCTGTTCTTGCCTTTTTTTTTTTTTCTTTTCTTCTATTATATTTTCGTTGTCGATGTCGTCTCGTGTAGTAGGTAGATGGAAAATAGGAGCCTGTAGTGAATCGCCAGTTGGCTTCCTGCACAGGACATTTCTATTGATGAGAAGCAAGAGTCGCCTGCCGAGATCAGCTCTTGAGCAACTGTCCAATTTATTTTTGTTCGTTGATTTTTCAGCACTTTCGTTCGCCTGATGTTAGCTATAGAACAGCATCGTGTAGCTACATTCGCGATCCAATCGTGTGGACAACGCCAGCTCCATAATTTAAATGGCACTAGGGACGCCACTATCGCAGAGAAAAGAAAAGCCAGCGTAAGTGTGTGGCAAGGAAAAGGGCAAACCAATCCCCACCAGTGAGCGGTGGGGATCATCGTGATCTTCATTATCCGCTTCCTCAGGCTCGGCAGGACAAGAAGGAAGGAACAACCGAGGGTTGAGTCAGTGACTAGGAATCGGAATTGCTCTCGTGGCATTGGAATCAGTGGCGGCGCGCTAGCTTCATTGGGGAGAGAGAGTGAGAGCGAAGCTAAGAAGGAAAAACGGGCCATTGGTCAACCTGATGACAAGCTATTGGCAACGCGCCGGACGGCAGGACAGCTATCGTGAAATTTACAATTGAAGACGAGGCAGGAGTGAGAGCAAATTGTAGGGATAAACGAATAGACAGGATGCCCATGTGTCCGATGTGAAGAAGTCTATGCGGCGGCCATGGGCACATCCTTACGTGATCGCCGACCAAGCAGCTTTACTGCTGTAGGCAATGGTTTTTATGCCCCATTCCGTTGCGAGCGGACTACTTCACCAGTTTCATCCGGACGGACGGACGGACGGACGGACGGCTTCGACCACCAGCGAATCGGCCGATCCAACAACGAGCACAACAAAGTAACCGATGAGATCAACGCAATGCTAGCTAATTGTGCAACATATTAAGCCAGACAGCGGTGGAAAGCCCCCGTCGGATAGACAAGGATTCACTGCTCTGCTGCCGGTAGATGGAGAGCAATGAAAACAGAAAAAATATGAGGTAACATCGAAGATTTGCTCCATGCGATATGGAGCTCAAGGGAGCAGAACTGCGAGAACCGCTCTCTTTATCGTTTACATTTGACAGAACAATAGGAATGGCAGCGCTACTAGTAGAACTGTCAGTCAGATATCGGACTAATGACCACGGTAAGGATAGTCGACGATGTATCAGTGTGTATCGGTACTACAACACAATATGCTACCGAGCTAACAAAACACATTTATTGCTATATTGTACATATACAACATCAAACCAATATTATTGCATGAGCAATTCATGACCGTTGCCCGAGGGACAGTGCCTATAGTGTTAAATTGCAGGGCATGAATGAGCAAAATACATGTAAGCGCGTCAGTCATCATCACTGAGCAACATTAGACAGGAAGCTGATCAAGCCAGCCGACGAGAAAGAGAAATTACGGCGTGATTTGATCCAGCCACGTATCCCCTAGCCGCTCTAAACAATAATAACGTCAGTCAGTTTAATAGAGAGCGAGAAATACTATTTTGGATCGTAGAGCTGGCGGCGTATTGCAGAACATCAGCCGAAACAGCTCTTGATACCGCTGCTTTTGCCACGACAACCGCTGGATGCTAATGTTATTCAGCGCGCCAGCACCATAGCAACGCTTTGCTAACCAACGGTATATCGGCGAACGCCGTCCCAATGCGTTTGGCCTCCTGTGTTCGTACTGACGGCAGCGCCCAAATCGGCAACAACCTCCACGAATATGTCTCTGTAAACTGCAACAACAAAAACGACGACCCTCTTTCTTGCCAAGGCCTAGCGACGAGAAAATGACTGGGGGCCAGCCACCAGGATGGTTGTATATCGTCAGGCAACGGCCGCCTGTTTGCCAGCTGTAGTCGCCGTACCGTAGAGTAGCCTGGCAAGATGGAAAAGTCAAAGATGCCTCTAAGCCATCCGTTCCTAAGCTTCACACTGGTGACGGCAGGAATAAAGAGGAAGGGAACCTATTTATTTGATTTACGCGCTCAAATGTCATGGCTATCCTCGAGTGTGGCTTGGCTCCTGCGCCAGCAGCGGTCATAGATACATAGTACATGCAGTCGACAAATATGCCTGATCGCCACCACCGACACGGAGATGAATATATGAAAATTCACGCTTGTGCTGGAACAGCGTTCTCAAGCACTGCGTTGAGGAGAGCATTGATATTGTTTAGATATTTATATAAAACTGTCAAAATAATACTTACTGATTGAATGTAGAGCGTAACACCCGTAAGCTTTGATATTTGCCTGAACGCGGCCTCGCGTTCGCTGCTAACTGGGTATCTTGTTTAGACCCAACAGAGTAATGGGACTTCTTAGTCTATAGCACAATAAGAATGAGTCAATCGGGCTTGATACAGGTCAAATCAGGTGTGGGTAATTTCTAAAAGTATGCCTTTCTTGTAGCTTTGCACCTGATCCAATCCATCTAAAATATATTTGCGGAATATCTTATTATTTAAATTCCTTATTATTATTTTTTGTTTATTTATTATATTATTTAAATGCCCCAATTGCATGATCTATTATTATACATTGTCGCATCTCATTAGTCCGTCTTTAGTTTGATTCGATTCGCATATCCACTGTCCACAAAAACGTCTTATGTAAAAACGTCTTACGATTTCCTCATCAGCTTGTGTGTGCGAAAGGAAAGCATGTAAACTTAACTAACTTAGACTCTATGCGTATTGCGGGTTAACTTTGAATTTTGCTTTCCACCCAATATTAGTTTAAGTAAAAATACAGCATATTCGGACCAATTTAATTACTACAATCAATAGGCCATCTAATTGTCGCATATCGTAACATATAAAGAAGAAGTGTCCCCCATCTTGTATAAATATGTATACAAACTAAGGGGTTTTTGGTCATGCTTAGCGTTTTGCGATACTTTACTGTATCACCTGCCACACTGACGCCGCCTAAATAGGATTATTCTAGTGACACTCCAGTCCGTCGCAATGAAAGCGAAGTCCCTCTGGCCGGACGAAAGTCGCAAATCTTGCAGGCTACCTTTAAAAACGGTTTTCTAAAAACCGTCCTACGGCCACTAAGGGCGCAAGTACGCTAGGACAAGTATTATTAAACTGCTTCATAAACAGGCGGATAGATAAATCTGCTTACTCCTGCAAATATTAATGATGCGTTTCATCGAAAGAAGTTAACAATTATTTTAATTTGCATGCCATCGTAACTACATATAAGGGTATCTATCGAAATGTTGGCAAGAAATGTACACGGCTTGCTACTTTTTTTTTTTTACTTGGAATTAGCTTCACTCAGTCGTGATCCGATGGAAAAGTAACATAGAAGGCACTGTCGGATTATTACAATTGACGGCATTACTGTTATTATTTAAGCGACATTATTAAGAGTCGTGTTAAAAATTTCGCAGCAAAAAACAACCATCGTGATAGTAAATGTCTACACGTATGCATCTGCTATCAGATGTTGTGGTAGCGAACCCAGACAGGAGCTTCATCCACGTTACGGGATCAACAAAGTCTATGCAACTTCAGCCACTACCAATACGTGTACGTCGTGCTAGTCTTTTCTATGTTTCGCTTGATCGCCATTTACTTTCACACT